TGTTCCAAGGCGGCGAGGCCGAGCCGGCCAAGCCTAGCTCCAGGTTCGGCAGCGGGGGAGGCTCGGGGGGGAGGAAGAGCCGCTCGGCGGCGCGGAGCCCGCGGCGGGGCTTTATTCGGTCGCGGGGGGTGCGGCGCTCCGGCTGAGGGACGGGCGGGGGGGCTCTGGCTGAGGGGGGTCGTGTCGCTGCTGAGGGGCCTCTTCGCCCCGTCCCTGCGGGGCCGGGGCCGGCGCAGGGCCGGTGCCCCCGCCGTGCCTCAGTTCCCCCGTGCCGCACCCCGGGGCTGGGCCGGGTGGGCGGGAGCGGCCGCGGTGCGCCCCCGGCGGGGCCGCCCGGGCTGGGGCAGCGCCCGCGGGACTTCAGTGCCCGGCCCGGCCCTGGAGCTCCGGTGAGGGGTCCCCGGGGAGGGGCGCGGCTGCTCCGTGAGGCTGTGAGAGGGAGGATCCAGCACAAACGCCGGCTTGTTTCCACCCTGCGAAGTTGAAGTATATTGTTATATATTTGGAGGAGGGCAGATCTCCCGAGTACTGCAGGGAGCGAGTGCACTGATTAACCCGTCTGTGAGGCTGTGGCGTGCGGGAGGGAGGGAAGGAAGGAAGGAAGGAAGGGTTTGGGAATTGTGTAACAATGCTTTACGTTTGCCTGGGTTCTAGTCTCTCTGAGCTGTGACCTGGTTGTAAAAGACTTTTGAGGATGCTCTGCCCTTGGTATGGTCCCTGGGAAGCCTCTGTTCTCACAGGACCTTTGAAACCACGTTTAAGGTATAAACTGGGCAGGGCTGGACTGCAGCCCGTTGTAAGGTGTTAGTTAACAGCGAGCAAAGGGGGTGTCACAGCTTTGTCCCAGCGGCGTGGGGTGTGTTCGTGGCTCCTGGGAGCAAAGATGGAGCCACCCACAGCTCGGTACCAGGTTTAAGGTACACTGTGTCCACAGCTTGTTCTGTTCATTCCCTAAACAAAAGTTTATTTAGTGGGAATGCAAATCCTTTTGCAGTTCTTGATATGTAGAAGTTTCTCTGTTTAAAACTGAGCCTAATTCCAAATCCCTGCAGTGACTACAAACACTTGTGAAAGTGGGGAAAAAAAACAAACTCATCCTAAGATGAAGATCTTTCTGAGGACATTTTGCGTTTTGAGAACGTCAAAATTGCTGTTAGAAATAAATGATGCTAAAAAGATTTTAAATGAAACCTTTCACTTAAATAATTGTCCAGTGAGATGTGTTTCCAGTGATCCTGTTAATGTGCACGGCAATAGAGCAAACATCTGGTTTGCTGAATCAAATTAACTGCCTGGTTTTATTTTATTAAACTTTAATAATGACACTTTGTGTTTTTAAGGAAGCTTTGCTTTTCCAAAATGAAACAAGGGATTGCATGTCTAAGAGTTTCTAAAAGCAAAGCAGGAAAGATTTGTATCATTCTGCTGTTACACATGGTAAAGAAGCGTTGCTTAAACTTACCCTCAATTCATCCTGTTTTACTTCTGTGTTAGAACTGTCTGAAAACTGGTGGGAGCTCAGTGTTTAACTTTCAGGCAGAACTAAAAAAAAAATGTATTTATTTATGTAGAAGGTGTCTTGAAGTAATGGATAAGTCTTGCACCCCTTCCATAGGTTGGCTGAAAGGTTCAATGAGGAAAGCGCATTCAAATTCAAGTGTGTTCAAATGTAGAGAGGAAAAAAAGATCAGAAGAACTAATTAAAATTCTTCCAATCTACCAGAAGAGAACAAAGCAATTATTAGAGGCTTTTAAACTTGCAGGGTAGGGCTCTTGATTTAGCTATTCTAGATGAATTGGCAGACTTCTGTTTTGCTGGAGAGGAGGGGGAGAAAGGCAGATTTAGATTTCATAGAAGACAATTTTATTTTTTTTTTTTTACTGCTTAAAAAGAAAACACCTTCCCTTCTGCCCTTCTCCCAAAGGAAGAAAGACCCAACATACCTGGCTACAAGACACAAAAATGTCTCTATGTAAACCGACGTAATACCAACGTAAACTAAAATGACTAAAGTATAAACTGAAGTTACTATGCAGTGCGTGTTGGATTTCCCTGTACTCTGCTGAAGCAGCTCACACTGGCTCACTGAGCTTGGTGGGGTTCACAGGCAGAATCTGATTTTCTTATTTGCTGTGGGGGGACTTCACGTCCCACTCTGGTCTAGAACTGAGTGCACAGGAGTACAAGGAGCCAGTAGTGCTCTAGAGACTCCACAGCAGGAAAATAGCTTTGTATTCTCCTACGTTTTTGGCTGAAGGGAAGGAGTGCAAAGCCCTGTCCTCTTTGCTGTCACCAGCTGGCAAACTTTGTTGCTGTACTCAAGATTGTTTTTGGTAATTCCTGTGAATGACTTAGTTATCTGACTTGGCATTCGTTAGAATTTTATGAACCTGGTGTCACAGTCACTTGAAAGTTTATGGAATGCTTGGAAGGTTCCCAGCATTTAGAGGTTTCTGAGATTGAGGTGGCAAATGCACTTTGTGTATGTATTTTGGGTGATGCTGGCAGGAAAGGTCGCTTGTGCTGATTTCCAAGTGCTTCATAAGCACCACTAGTGATGCCTCTGGCTTATTCATTGAACAGTAGGGTGTTCTTAGTGTGGGTACTGAGCTGAAAATGGGAGGACAATATAAGATTAATCAATGTTGGATTTCTTTTGATGCTTAATTCAGTTTGTTTACTGAATAAGCAAGACTTTTAATCTTAAAATGGTGTTTCTCTAGAATTTTCTTTTACAATAGATCTTAAAACACGTTACAGGAATGAGAAGTAATTATGACTGGTTGTTATTCTTACACCAAAAAAGTCTGAATGTAGTTATTTTGTTATTCCCCTCTATGCTTGTAGGCATGTGTTAAGCAAACAGCATGGTAAAGGGAGTGAATCTGTGGTGCAATGCTTTACTCATATACTGAGTATACTTGGAATGCAAGAGAGACTAGATGCATTTAAAACAAGTATCTGAAAAGAATGTGTAAAGTCAAAAATCATTGAAATTAGGTGAGAGAAGCCCCTTTTAGCAGAAGCCCCTTCCCAAAGTACTTTTCTATAGAGTTCCCTTTTCCTTCAGTCTCCCTGGTTTAAATACTTAAACTGCCTTGTGGTTTCTGGACCATTATGAATGCTCGAAATACATAATTTTCCTATACAATGTCTGCTTTAATAGTGGGTTTAGATCTTCTAAGATATGTGGAAAGCACATAGGATAGTTGGCTCTGTAGTCTGATGGACACAAAATTGTAAGTAAACCTTCTGCTTTGTGTGATCTAACCTGTGCCATGGACAGAAATTGTCCTGTCTGCTGAAATTCTTGTTACTCATCAAGCTTAAGGGGTTCGTTAAATTCACGGTCATGCTAAGGATTAAAATATTGAAATTGGGCAGCAAAGACAGTCTCTCTGAGGCCCCTACTATCTATGAAAACTATTACCAGATTAAAAGAGGAACTTTTTTCTCCTTCCTCCCAAAGAGCCTAGAACTGCTCTCTGCATCTTGAGATCTGAAATGCATGCAAAGCTCATTTTCTAACAGGGCAGCCAAATACCTCTGCTTCTGTGAAATGAAATCTTAAGCTGGACTAGATCTTGGCTCCAAGAGGAACCTTGGAGATAGCTCACCTGAAGTGGAGTGCTGCAGTCTCATCTAGGGAGGAGAGGAGGGGTTGTATTAATTCACTGACGTTTGACTTGTGTTCAGGTTGAGTGGGATGAAGATCTTGCAATTTATAACTGTTGTCTTGGTTTAAAAGTAAAGGCTGGTTTAGATCCCAGATGAAGGGTTCAGACGAGAATTAATAAAATTGAGTTCAGCTGCTTAGACTGTGGGTAATTGGTCAAGTAGATGTAACTGTAAAGATTATTTCTGATGCAGAATCTCAGAATCATTAAGGTTGGAAAAGACCTCTGAAATCATCAAGTCCAACCTCTGCTTGTCAACTAGACCAGAGCATTAAGTGACACGTTCAGTCATTTCTTGAACACCTCCAGTGATGGTGGCTCCACCACCTCCCTAGGCAGCCCATTCTAACATTTAACAACCCATCCAGTGAAGGAATTCCTCCTGATGTCCAACCTGGACCTCCCCTGGCACAGCTTGAGGCTGTTACTTCTTGTCCTGTCCCTTGTTTCCTGGAAGCAGAGCCCACCCTCCCACCCCCCTCTGGCTCCCCCCTCCTGTCAGGGGGTTGCAGAGCCAGAAGGTCCCCCCTGAGCCTCCTTTTCTCCAGGCTGAGCCCCCCCAGCTCCCTCAGCCGCTCCTGCTGCTCCAGCCCCTTCCCCAGCTCCGTTCCCTTCCCTGGACACGCTCCAGCCCCTCAGTCTCCCTTGTCTGAGGGTCCCAGAACTGCCCCCAGGGCTGGAGGTGCCCCAGCAGTGCCAGCACAGGGATGGGCACTGCCCTGGGCCTGTGCCCACACTATTTCTGACACAGCCCAGAGGCCATTGGTCTCTTGCCCACCTGGGCACACACCAGCTCATGTTCAGCCCCTGGCACCAGTACCCCTAGGTCCTTTTCCACTAGACTGCTTTTCAGCCATACCTCAGTATCCATTGCTTTCTTGTGCTTTTTCTGTTAATTTTCCAATTGATTCCACTGATTCTGCTCCCAAGTAGTGGTTCAGTTCCTTTTCAGAGCTGGACCTGAAGTTTGTTGTACAAAACATAGGCATTAACTGTGGACTTACTACCCAAGGACAAGCATGACTTTTGGTAGGTTTTCTAGAAGTCAGTCCATTTCTACTGTAACCTCCAATTTTTCTGCAGATCTGTTTGATATCCTCTGGTACAAAGCTTTGGTTTTAATGGATTTGCAGCTTGACCACTAAAAATCTGGCTTTTTGGTATTCCACTTCTCCGTTCTGAACTCTACACCAGCTACTATGATAACTGATGGTTGAGTTGGCAAACTTTTTAGTAGTTCTGAAATGTCTGCTTTTAAATAAAAGTCGTTGGGTTTGAATTGTATCAGGGATGCATAGTTGGTATGTGCAGTTTAGCAGAAAGTCTGATTCTGTAATTTATTTTTAAAACTCTAACCAGTCATATGCCTTCTCTTAATCTTCTGTTGCTTCTGGAACACCACAGGGAGAGTAGTCATTTGTGCTGCTGGCACCGTTAGCATCATTCCAAGTAATCATGGATAGCTTCATGATCAAATTGACTCACCAGGAGGTTGGCAAAATTTGTGCTGGACTTGGGAATACTTTATTAGAACAGCTCTTGAAAAGCAGATGCTGGGCACAGCAGAATTACCTGAGGTAATTTAAAGTCAGAATAGTTACATACAAGGGAGAATGGGAAGAGGTCATCAAATATGTTGAATGCTATAAATTTTAAATGAACTTTTGTATCTTGCTCCTCATTCTGTGATGCAGGGTATTGAAGCCCCCGGGAGGAGGTTCTAGTAATCTCTTTGGGAGTACAGAGGAAGTGCCTTCTTCAAGCAGACCACACCGGATGGCATCCAATATTTTTGGAGCATCAGAACAACCTCAAAACATTCCAAAAAGAACAAACCCTCCAGGTAAGACCTGCCCCCTCTTTCTGTGCTATTAGGCTCTGAGTTGCAGCACAGAACTGGTTTCATGTTTCTAAAGTGGAACACTGTAATCTTTTTTATGTTGCATTTTTGCATATTGAGCAGGCTTGAACAACAAATCACTTCAGACTTTTGAATATATGAATATTTCAGTGATCTGCATGTTCACAAACTTTTTAGCACATCACCCAAATGTTAATTCTTTCCAAGCTGAGGTCTAGGAAATGATGAAAGGAAACAGATTCTATTCTAGAACTGTGTCAGCAGTTAGCTGCAGTGGGCACAGCCCTGAATCTGAGATCCACTGGTGAATCGTTGCAACAAAGGTTTTCAGATAGGCAAACAAAAGCAAGTCCCTAGGCAGCAGGGCTCTGGAAGTCCTTGAGTTCCTATATCTTTTTAAATATTTTCATATAGAGTGATAAAACTAAGTCATCTTGGAAAAAAAAAATCTAACAACTGCCTTGCAGGAGGAAAAGAAAGTGGCATTTTTGAGGACTCTAGTTCTGCTCAGCCTCGTCCGCGCATGAATCCACCTGGTGGGAAGACGAGCGATATCTTTGGGTCTCCTGTCTCTCCCAGCATTGTGCGAGCACACCCCAACAAGCCCAAGGTATTTGTACTTCTGTTACTGTCAGAGCAAGAAGCAGCTCCAGGGGTCCTCTCACACTGTCGCAGTGCTCTCTTTAAGAACAGACCTGAATTGTGCACAGAGGGACTTTGAGTTAGACAGTTATATTCCCAAAATCTCTTTGATAGCTTGTTATTTTGGGTGTATCTCATCTCTGCAGGCTCTGCAGTTTGCTGTAAAAGTATTAATTAGACTCTGGATATGTGTTCAAAAAAAAAAAAAAAAGAGAAAAAAGCTTTTGATCATTCTTGTGAGGTGCAGCTGGAGTTCTTGACAGAGCCAAGAGGCATTTAAGGTGGATAGGGAGGAGATATTTCTCCTTATTCTGCAGTTTGCTAGAGGTGATCTTGATTCAAATTTGGGAATTTGGTGAACCCCAGTGAGCTACAGTCATAAACCTTCATGTGGCCTGGCTGTGCACTTTGTCTCCCTTAAGTACCTGTATCTACAGTCACTGTGAAAGCACTTCAGCAGGAGATTGGGCTTAAGTGATCAACAGTGAAAAAGTGAACTTGGGATCAGCCATGGTGTCAGGCCCAGCAGATGCTTGATTTGTGGTAGATGAAAGTGTCTCTTTGCAACTGTAATAACTGTAATTGTTATTACAGTTGTTATACATATTTTATAGAGTTGGGTTTAGATCTTAAACCTGTGATGTGTAATAGTTGCTTGTAGTTATGATCAAATCTGGGTTTGGGTAAAAAGCAGGATACGTTGCCAGTTATTTTATTTCTGTATTTAGGTGCCCTATATGTGGATTTACAACCTGCTGCCTTACTCTAAGTAGATACTAATAAGTGAGTAGCTGTTATGTTGATAATGAGGTGGTATAGAATAACCTCCTGGCTACTGCAGAAATTAACTCTGTCCTGGCCAGAACCAGAACATTATTTACCCCTTATTCTATACAATCTACGTCATGTCATTTCCGTAGTCAATGAATGAACCTCTAAGATGTCTTTTGAGTTCATTTAGTCCAGGACTGTGGGTTCTATCCATCCTAAAATGTCTCCCAGGGCAGGAGGCTTGGTGTGCTGTCAGCTGGTTCAAGCTGCACAGGGAGCTCAGGACTGGTGTATCTGGAGCAATCCACCCTCATTGTCCGTGGTACCTATGGCACACAGTGGCAGTGTCATTCAGCAACCACTGTCATACAATTCAACATTACAGACTGTTCTTACCCAAAAATCAAATCCCTTTAAAGGACACATTGTGTTTCCCTGTCCTTCTGCATTACCCATCAAGTGCAAAAATTCAAGGACTTGGTGTGTCCTTGAGCAAAAACAAATCCATGGATGGGTTTGCCTTTGTTTGAAGCAGGACTAATCCAAACTGTCTTGCCCAACATATGCCTTGTATGCCCCACAGGGCCTTTATCCCCTTCTATGGTGCATAGTGGTTTTGATTGGGCAGGACCAGCTCGATTGGTAGAGCCTCAGGTGTTAACTAACTAGCTGGCCTTTGCTAAATGTAGATCCCAGTGTTTGAAGGTCCCACCACCCATTGCTTTTAATGTGGTTTTTAACAGTGCATTGTACTGTTCAACTTTCCCAGAGGCTGGTGCATAACTGGGAATGTGACACACCTACTCAATCCCGTGCTCCCTGGCCCAGGTGTCTGTGAGGCCTTTTTTGAAATGAGTCCCATTGTCTGACTCAGTTCTCTCTGGGGTGCCATGTTGCCACAGGACTTGCTTTTCCAGGCCCAGGATGGTGCTCCAGGCAGTGCTGTGAGGCACAGGGTGCATCTTCAGCCATCCAGTGTTTATTCCCACCACTGTCAGCACGTAGCACTTGCCTTGGCAGGTTTGGGGAGAGTGATGTAATCAATCTGCCAGGCCTCCCCCTATTTATAGTTTGACTGTTGCCCCCCACACCACAGACGCTTTACCTGCTTGGCAGCACATGTTCTACAGTTATGGATAACCTGGGAGATGGTGTCCATATTTAAGTCCACCTCTTGATCATGAGCCCCTCTGGATGTTGCATCTCTTCCCTGTTGACCTGAGTTGTTATGGGCCCACAGAGCCAGAAATAATTCACCCTTTTGTTGCCACTCCATATCCACCTGAGACACTTAAATTTTGGCAGCTCAATCCACCTATCCGTTGTTGCGCTGTTCTTCAGCAGACTGACATGATGGACTTTCACAGCCAATCTCCCTACCCAGGCAGTGATATCTTGCCACACTTCAGCAGCCCAGATGGATTTCCCTCTGAGCTGCCAATTGGCCTTTTTCCCTTGGTCCAACCACTCCCACAGAGCATTTGCCACAATCTACGAGTCAGTAGAGAGGTAGAGTGTGGGCCATTTCTCTTTTTCAGTGATACCTAAAGGCAGCTGGACAGCCTGCAGCTCTGCAGCCTTGCTTGATCCGCCTTGTCTCCCTCAATGGCTTCTGTGACTCCCCGCATAGGACCCCATACGGCAGCTTTCCATTGTGCATGTGTCCCTACAACGCGGCAGAAACTGTCAGGGAAGAGAGAGTGTCACCTTTCATTTCCTGGTAGCTGATTATATGGTGGGGCCTCCTCAGCACGTGTCACCTTCTCCTCATCCTCTTCTGATGATGGTCTGAAATTTTGGCCTTCAGGCCAATTCGTGATGAATTCCAAGACCTCTGAGTGATTGGGGTTTCCTGTCTGAGCTCTCTCTATGATCAGTGATCCACTTGCTCCACGGGGCAGCAGTGGCATGGTGTGTGGAGGGGACTTTCCCTTTGAACATCCAGCCCAGCACTGGCAGGGTGCCAGGAGGAGCTGTGCTTCAGTGCCAGTCACTCCTGAGGCAGCTCAAACTCCTTCAGAAGCTGCCAGGATCTCTTTTTCAGTTTGAGTGTAACAGGCCTCAGATCCTTTGTATCCCTGACTCCAGAACCCCAGGAGTCATCCTTGGGTCTCTCCCCAGGTACTTTTTACCAGAGACTCCAGTAAGGACTGTTCTCCCTGGCTGCAGTGTAGAGCATGGTTTTTTACATCCTATCCTGTCCTGACTGGCCCAAGGATTACTACATGAGCAGTCTCCTGTTTATTGTGTTCAAAACCTTGTTGTTGCTCAGGGCCCCACTTGAAATCATTCTTCCATGTCACTGGATAGAGAAGGCTGACAAACTGACTGTAATTTGGAATAATCATCCTCCAAAAACTCACAGTGCCCAGGAAAGCCTGTGCTGCCTGGTTGCTGGTTGCTGGGGACATAGCTGGTGTTTTCTTAACCACATCCATTGGAATCTGACAATGTCTGTCTTGCCACTTTACTCCTAAAAACTGAATTTCCTGGGCAGGTCCCTTGACCTTACTTTGCTTTATGGCAAAACCAGCATTCAGGAGGGTCTGGATTATCTTCTCCTCTTTCTCAAAAACTGCCTCTGCCGTGTTGCCCCACACGATGATGTCATCAATGTAGTGTAAGTGTTCTGGAGCCTCACCCTTTTCTAGTGCAGTCTGGATCAGTCCATGGCAAACGGTGGGCTGTGTTTCCAGCCTGGGGCAATTGGTTCCAGGTGTACTGCACACCCCTCCAGATGAAAGCCAGCTGTGGCCTGCACTCTGCTGCCAAAGGGGTGGAGCAGAACTCATTAGCAGTGTCGATGGTGGCTGCCTTGGACTCCAGTTTGTACTGAAGTTCCAACATGTCCAACACAGCGGCATCAGTGGTGGGGTGACTTCAGGCCACTGGACTTACACACTGGCCCTGTAGGGCTATTAAAGGGGGTGCAAATCTTGCTGACCGCTCCCTGGCTCTCCAGTTCACAAATTATGTCCTGGATGGGGCTCACAGAGTCCCAGTTGGTGTGGTATTGTCAGTGGTGTCAGTTTGTTCTCCTCCTTTCATTGACATTACTGCCAATGAGTCGATGTACGACGATGGTGCTCTCTGTATAAACTTCTGCCCCAGGGATTGTGTGCACTGGTCCTCATCTGGATCTACAGGGCACTGCTTGTTATTTGAATCCCTATGGATTTCACCTCCAGCACAGCTGATTATCTGAGGTACTGGATACCTTTCTCCATGGCGTTCCACCTGCTTGGGTCCACTACTAGAACATCCTTGGAAAAGGGTGCCTTTCCTTCACGCCTGACAGGAGTCGCCTGCAGAGGCTGAGAGTTTCTGTTCTCTTCCCACAATCCTGTGTTAGATGCCCGTATCCCAGGACAGGGATCCCACTTGCTTGGCTTGACCACCATTTGGTTTCATATTGTGGGCCGCAATATCCCAGCTCTGGAGCAGCCAGGTCACCAGGGGCTCTCTCAGCTGGAGGCTGAAATCTTTTCGCATATCTTGCAGCTGGCCCTGCCTCTTATCTCTGGCCCTGCCTCTTCCTCATGTTCTGAGGGCCCTGCTTCCTCCTCATCCCTCACTGGGAGAACTGCTTTGGTCTTGGATTTCTTCTTCTGTATAGGGTTGCCTGCTACTGGCACAAGTTGTTCCTCTGGTTCAGCTGCAGTTTGAGTGGCCATGGTGCCTGTTGCTCTGCTTTCCTTCTCCTCCCCCTGAGGGTTCTGTCTGGTGATGAGCAGTGTCTAATAAATAGCAGCCAGGGCCCAGCACGTTGCAATAAGTTCTCTGGAGCTGCCACAGCATTCTCTTGTCAAAGATTCTCCACTTCATCAGGGTCTTGTGGTTGTTCAGAGGTGAACTTCCAAACCATTTCTCCAAAAGCTGGCCCATTTTCTCCCACATTCCATGACACTCATGACTATCCACCCTTGGGGCAGATGTCCAAATAACCTCCATAGAAATCTCTTTCTTGACTACACAGTGCAGTGTGGACTGCACTGAGGAGACCTGGCAGACTTAACAACAAGAACATGCTTTCATTAACATCCAAAGGGAATTCAAGATTCTCAAAGGCTGTTGTAACAAGCCTGAAGGAGGAAAAAGGGGTGAAAAGCTGGGGTAAATCATTCTCCCCTGTTCTTCCCACAGACTGGGTATGATTATTAGTGGACTCCCAAAGGTAAGGGCAGGAGAGCAGCACTGAACACACATCCCAAATGACCCTCGCTGCCTTGATGTTATCATGTCATAAACCAATATCTCACAGTGCAGCAACAAAGCAATCCTGATCCCTCTCCCTGCTCTGAAAAATATCATCACAAGGAGCACATATTGCATATATGGGAATATATACAAGATGGGAATATACACCCACATGAACAGACCAAGCAACATTTTGACCAGTGGCTCCCTACCTAATACAACAAATGCTTAGATCAAATTTGTTTCCAACTCACTCTGGACAGCTCTGTTATTATCTCAACCCTTCATGCCCCATGTTGGGTGCCAAATAAGTCTGTTGTGGCTTAGGAATGGTATTCCCCAATTTAGTGTCCCCACTGAAACACTCCAAACCTCACAGCACTTGCTCACTCCGCCCTCCCCCATGGCAGAACTGGAGGAGAGAATTGGAGGCACAAAAGGTGAAGATCACGGGTTGAGATAAGAACAATTTGCTGGAAACAGCAATGAAATAAGAAATTAACAGTAACAGCAACAATATTAATAACAGAGTGTGCAAGAAAGGCTTAACCTTTTATGCATATTCTGAGTAGTGTTTGGGGCAGTAAGAAAGTAGGAGGAAAAATAAGACTGGGAGCTAGGTTTTGTCAGGAGTAGTGCTGTTGGTGTAGGAGAGGGCTTTGCTTTGTTCCTCTGTACCCCTTTATTGGGATGGTCACTGTTTCCTTTTTAGAAATGTAACATTAATTCCCATGAATTCCTGACTAAATGGAGGACAACACTTCAGAAATTCCTGTCTTTAATTAGAGTATTGGAATTGTGGAAAATACTGGGGTGGAAAGGAGACAGCATATTTACAAAAACTACTGCAAATTGAGTTTCATGGCTGGGAAAACACACCTCTCTAAAGTGTGACTCTGTATTTGTGACAGTCAGTTGGGATTGTTGGGGAAGTGGTCTTAAGAGGTTTTGTTTATTACCTGACCGTTGGGACACTTGCCGAAGACAGGAATTGCTGAATATAAATAAGGTCCTCAGGAGCTGCTTGTATTCTAGTTGTGTGTGCCAAACTTCTCCTGGGTGGTAGTGGGTGCTCAACAGGAATGGTAATTCCAGACCTTACGATCAATGAATCCTTAAGGCTGGAGAAGACCTCTAAGATGGAGTCCAGCTGTTAGCCCAGCTCTACTGTGCTTACCATTTTGATGATCCACTGTAGCCTCTTCACCCATGTTTCAATGAATTGTCTGAGATGGGCACCTTACCATAACAGGAGTTTTGTCCCTCTGCTTTTGGGGTTCTGAAATGGAGGAGGGGATGAAGAGCTGCACATGGTGCCTGCAGCTGTTTGCTTTTACTGTGATCAACATATGAACTTAGATCAGAAACAAAGCAAAACTTTCGGAAGGCTTTTGTGACAGACTTGATGTTTGAGAACGATAATACGCTAAGACAGTTCTTGATTTCTTTGCAGGATCACATTGTCTTGAAAGAAGATGAAACGCCAAAGAAGCTAGAAGGTCAGCAAGAGAGATTCCTTTCTCTGTGCTCTTTGAGAAGATATGCTCTGAGGAATAGTTTCTTATGCTTCCACTTAAACACCAACCTTAGTCTCATGTTTTTGGGATAATATACTGAGAAGTCAGAGATCTAATCTCTTGTCTAAGGGAGATGGCTTTCTTCCTCCTTTGAGGAGAACACAGGCATGAGTCTTGCTACTCTGTGTCTGTGTGTTTACGCTTCGCTTGATACCATGTGTGTATATATAGATATATATGGAATCTGTATATAGCAAAACATCCTATCAGGTTACTTCTTCCTCCCTTGCCATCTCCTTCAAGTGTGTAATCTTGGCCTTCTGTAATTGTAAATAACAAATAGCTGACTGAAAAAATGTATTATTGCTCAGCCAGTTGTTAAAGAGTGATGGGAACCCTGCTTTTCAACTCAGGATGAAAGGATTGATTGGTACTTTGTATCTCTTAATTTCCTGAAACTACCATAATCATTCTGAAGGTGTATTGCTGAGCCTCCCCATTCTCCTTAGAAAGATTGCTGAAGGAAGAGAGGAATTGTTGTGGAAAGTGAAATTCTTTTCTCAGCACCTGTTTCCTTCAGGAAAAATGAACAGATAATGGGAAACCTTGGTGTGCTGGGGATGGGAGACATGGGAAATAATATAGTCTACAGAAAATGAGGCACTTTGTGGACTAAGAATGGTGATGTAATGATCTAATCCCTTTTCTTTTATGCAGCTACAGAAAATGTCAAACCACAGCTGGAAGATGGAGGCAAGAAAAAAGATGTGGGCAAAGAGGAGCGATGCAAGGAGCCAGAACCCAAGATAGACAATCACGAGCCCCGCCTGGGGCCAAGGCCACGCTCACACAACAAAGTCCTCAATCCACCCGGGGGGAAATCCAGCATTGCCTTCTATTAGGGTCATCAGGGCACTGTCCCTAATGGAGTCTGCACAGAAACTCTTGTCTGTGGTGGCGAGGTCAGTTTATAGACTATTGCTTGTGGGTAGATTCTTAGGCAGATGGATGAGGGTTATGTTAGAGTGTGTAGGAAAGGTAACCTGGTGATTTGGGGAGGGCGGGCTGGGGAGGGAACGGGTGCCCTGTGGAAGATGTAAGTATTGGCCTGCCTAGGTGGGTGGCAGAGGGGACATTAGTGTAACTTTGTGAAAGATCAGTGCTACTTTGTGGTGAGTTCCTCAGACTGTTAGGTTGTTAGCTAGCTCGTGGCTCAGGACGCTCTAGGGGAGTCAGGCTTGCCCATGCAGCCAACATGTCAAAGGTCGTGAATGAGGAGCAGCCTGGAGATTCCAAAGTACAGCAGGTAGGCTAGGCTTTCCCCATAGCAGTGGGATGCAGCTTCACAGCATGAGCTGACTTGCAGTGACATGAATGTAAATATGTTCCACTGGAACAAGTAGTGCTGCCACTGTTAGAAGTGTCTTCAGTCTTTGGTTCTCTTTCTCCTTTCTTGCTTTGCAACACGTGATTGCTGATACAAGGACAAAATATGCTGAAAGTTTCTTTTATACTCATAAACCTTCGCTACGTTTATAAAGATTGCGGTCTTCCCCTCCCAGGTATTCAGGCCTTTCTGATGCCTTTGGTAATCTGCTGATTACAATGACTGGATCTTGACACGTGGCAGTCCAACATACTATTTCACGTAGGTGCTTCTAGAAGACTTTTATTTAAAAGTGCCCTGTTTGAGTGCTTGCACACGTTCTGGTAAAGATGTGGGTGCAAAAAATAGCTTTATGGTACTCTGCACAGAGGTAACTTGAAGTTTACAGTTACCATGGAGAATATGCCCAGGTGCCCAGCCAGGTCACTCTGACCCAGCATGTGTGGAAATGCCTTAACTTTGGCACAGGTTTTCACTTTGCACCCCATGGAAACTATGACTGTTCTCTCTCCACCACAGTGAATTTCCTGTTTGTTTTGTCTGTGCTGACTCTGTTAGTGAATTCTCCTGTCTTTGGTGAGCCTTACCTTTGCCTTTGACTGCCTCACGTTTTTGTTGGTAAGGTTGGGAGAGCTGTGTGGGTTCTCACCAAGCCATAGTTGTTTTTGCTGTAGACTATCCTAGTTGGAAAAACAAAGGCTTAAGCAATACAAACCTTCTGTTAGTGCTGGCTATTGTAAATCATGTTTGGAAGATGTGCATGTTTTGCACAGACATTTTTGGGGTAGGGTTTGTTCTCTGAATGGACTTTTTGATTGTATCCACAACTTTGATATATGAATGTTAACATTAGGTGCTGACTGTTCAATGTATTGAATAGTGACTTTTTAAATCTGATGTATCAAACAGGAGTTGTTCAGGTACACCAAAGAACAAGTGGCCTTATCTGTATGTCCACTGCTGTTCTAGCCCAGGTTCCCTGGGAAGTGCTGCCAGTGAGAGGATGCTGGGCCAGGCGCTAAACCTCTCTGTGATGGTGGTGCTCTCCAGGCCACAGTTCCCCTGTGGCAGCAGGGTGGGTGATTGCTTGGACACTTATTTGCCTTTTCAAATCGTGAAATATATGGGGCAATGCTAAGGGTAAAACAGCCATGGAGAATAGGGATTTCAGTGTCTTTGTACCTTTCAGATTGCTTTGGAGCTGCCTGTTATTTGTCCCCCTAGGAAAACAAGGCAGTGACTCAAACTACAACCCTGGAATGGACTTTTGTTACTTCCAAACATGTATTTCCTAGCAACTACTCCTGAGTCTGTGCTCTCTAGCCTCTGGCTGTCTCAGACACATCTATCTGTTTCAGCTCCTTGTTCCAGTACTTGACAGGAGGCTGTCATGTGGGAAAGTCGACCAGAGGCTGCTTCCTGCATTGCAGACTCTGGTGCCATCTGCAATACTGAGCATTTGGCATCTTTTAGTCCCTGATGTGCATTGGCTGCAGTGCCTGTCTTTTAAACAGCAACTTCTAACTAGGCCTTAAATTAGTTAAACTATGTTAATTTTCTTGCATTTCTTTCTTTGGAATCTAAACAAGGTTTTCAACTCATCAAGTAAGATTGATCTGAGCTTTTCTTTGGGACAGAAGGAGATTGGAAATCAAATGACAGAACATGCGATTGTCAATAAACCTCTGTATTTTGTTACTTCATTGTGTGCTGTAGATGTCTGCTTTTATAAATCAGTCAATCTATTTCAGTGTAGATACACTCATGAATTTTATTGTCTGAAGCGGGAAAAATTACACATAAATTTTCAGGCCTTCCATACAGGGGACTGTGCTCTGGAGCTGTGACATCCTGCCCAAGGCTGCCAATGAGACAGACACTTCTTATCCCTGGGGAGGGTTCAGTTCAGTGCCTTTTTAGGGGCAGCATTCCATGATGTTCTGTACTACACAGGGATTGTTATGTTCTTCAGCAAGATTATAAATAGACTTAAATATCCAAATAATTTAAATATTTAAGGCTGCTTAATGTACAATAATGTAGTAATTCCCCTTGAGCAGGGGATGTTCTTTAGATGGAGAAGTCATACCCCCACTTCTGTTCTTCCAGTGAGTGCATAAAACCCCCCTCACGTGCCAGACTGCCTTGGCTGACAGGAGGGAACTACACCCACAGAAACTGCTCTTCTGGGTGAGCTGGACACAGTGGCCTCTCAGCCAGCACGCTGTGTGTCTGTGGCGTTCATCCTCCAGAGCCTTCCAGCCAGACCTCACTCCTACAGCTCCTGCTGTGTTTGGCCATTTACAGTTCAGAACTCTCCTCTGAAGCATGCACAGTGCTTTGAGTGGGATCTGCATAGTGTGGGAATTTGGGAATGTCCTTGGTAGACACATTAGCAATGAAGGATTGTCCTTCCTTTGAGTTGTGGCAGTAGACCACAACAGAGCTTCACTCTGCAACCGTGTCTTACCTCTGCTTTCCCAAAACTGCAGATTTCACAGAATATGCAAAGTTGGAAGGGACCCTGTTATAGGTTAGAAATCCAGGAGAATTTTCTTCCCCCTGCCTCCCACTGTAAGAAAGATGGAGTCCAAATGGAAAAAAGGTCAATTAGCCTTACAAAAGAATCTAGCTGGCCAAGCTGCATTCCTACCGAATGGCCCATCAGAGGCTGGGGGAAGAGGGGAGGAGTTTTGGGAGGAGGTGGCTGGCTCTTCTGGGAGGGGAGAGATCAGACTGGGGAGACGGACCGGGCATTTTTGGAGAGGGGGCCTGGAAGCCGGTCTTTCTGGCTTTTCGTCCTGGTGAGGCCTGACCACCGGCCCCGATCGGCTCGCACGCTGCCTCGTGACTCCAGCTGGGACCTACTGGGCTTTCATCAGAAAGTCTCTGTGCTCGCTGGGAGAAAAGGAGGAGCTTTGGGGCGCCGTCATCTGAGAACAACAGTGAGTCCTGTGGGGGTGGACTGCTTTTCCTTCTGCCCTTCTTCCACTGGGGGAAGGGCCCCCGTTGTTTCTTTTCGGCTTCTCCCGCGATCCGAGACCAGACCCCAGGCCCCTCCCCGCGCGGTGACCGCCAGAGCCCGTCTGCGCCCCCTGCCGGTCAGCACGGAGAACGGCAGGCTCTGCACTCCAGCGACCCAACAGCGCCCCTGCCGGCCGTGATTGGAACTGCGCTGAAGGACAGAGGAGTATTCATTCAGACTTTTTTTTTTTCCCCTATTGTTTGAAGGGGACTTTTTTTTTTCTTTTTTTGGGTACAGGACTATTGCCTAGTTTTTTGTGTGCTGTTACTGTTCTTGCCAACATACATATATCTTTTAATAAAGAGTTGTTATTTCTTCTGTTTTTTTCCACACTTCCTCGATTAAAGCCCCTTAATTTTGAATTCACAATTGCTGAGAGAGAGGAGTTTGGTTTGTCTCATAACTCATCCTCTTTAGCAAACTTTCCAGTCTCTTCAAACTGAGACAGACCCACAAGGACCATCATAAACATGTGGGATAGAATGTTACCTAGGTTGCTGTTTCAGTCTGGGAAGGAAAATTATGGTATCCATAGTGAGCTCAGCCTGGGAAGTGGCTAAAGGAGGACCTGCACATGAGTCAGGTGTGGTTCTAGGCATGGCTGCTGCTTAGGCCCTAAACATGTCACCATATCTGTCCTGTACAAGACAGCAGTGCTGTAGGGAACAGCCCAGCTGCAACTGATCCCCTGCTCCCTGTGAACCTGCCTAACCCAGAGCAGTGTGTGTTCTCCCCTGTGCCCACTGCTGGCTGCTGTGCAAAACCTTTTAAGCAAGCACTGTCTGATCCTGTCCGTCTGCTGCATCGCTGCCTAACACCCCATCCTGCACTCCCAGTGAGGAAGATTAATGTCCGCTCTGGTGGTGTTTTAAGCAGCATTACTGTGGGTTTTTTGAAGGATTTATACAGGCCAGTCAGACCTGGGATATCCATTCTACATTCTTGGGGATTGTCTAGTGATTGTTGTGTGGAGACAAGCACTAAATGAGTAACTGCTGCGGTATGTTCCCTGGAAGGCTCTTGGAGTTGTTCATGTACAATGTGATCGCACCAGTGCATGGACGTCCAAGCATCGTGGCTACCTGGGTGACTGTGGAGAGAACAGTTTGATGCCTCTCAGCATGTGGAGTGTGCTCAGTTGGAACTTGCATCTCCACAGGCTGGAAGCCACATGGCCACCCACTGATTTGTCCAAGCCCCCTGATGTGTCTCCTGTTGAATTTCAGGCTTGAAGCTCTGATGAAACCCTGTATGGCTTCGCTGTGGAAAAGGCGATGGGTTAAATGTTGAGGCTGGAGTTTTCCATTGTTTATTTTTCTTAAGGAATAAAGAGGAGTTGCAGCATCCTGGCTGTGGGGAGGCCTGGGCACATGTGAGCCGTTGGTGTCATAACTGGAGATCAGGTGTGCAAGGACAGGACTGGGGGCACGATTCATTGCTGGCCAAGAACTGATGGGCAGAACCCCCCAGCAGGCTGAGCTGGCTGCCCAGGCTGTGCCCAGTTAACCACTTGCTCCTTCCTCTGACCATAGTGAGCAGGAAGAGCGGGTTTTAATTATTGGGCTGAATTAGCAGCCCTGATTATTTTTAGTTTCATCTCTGGGGATGAAGACTATCTTTTCTTGAACTGGCTTTCCCTTTCTTTCAAGCTGCAGCTCCTTATATTGCTAACAGGACCTCCTCCTCCTCCTCAAGCAGGTCAAAAGTACTGGCAAGAGCCAGCAAGAATGTGGGAATTTGCTTTACCCATCAGCCTTTCTAGCTCCAACCACCTTCTAATTCTGGTGTCCTACCCATCTCAGTGTGAGTTGCCTGAACTAATGTCCACCTTCAGGCTTCACAGTCCACAGTGTCTTAAGACAAAGGAATGTTCTGGCAGAGAATATTGTTGGAGCCCACCATCTCCAGGTTGCCCAACGCTGGGGACAGGGTGAGGGGTGGGGTTTCAGTTACCTGTATACATGATCAGTGCAACTCTACAAAAATTAAACAAAAAACCCCCGATTGTTTCCTTCTATCTCTTGCAACATGTTGACCTCTGTGACCACCACCCTTTCATTTCATGACAAGCTTAAGCAAAGTAGAGCCATGCAATGGCTTTGTAGAAAGCTGCTCAGAGCTGAGCTCTGGAATCCCAACAGCAGGTGTCCAGCACAAACGGGGAAGACAAGCAAAGTGAGAGTGGCTTTCCTTGTCATCAGGGGAGACATTACTGATAAAAGCAGAGTAAGAGGAAGTTGTCAATGTGCCCAGCAGAGGTGAGCAGCTACTGCTGCAGTAAGGCTCATGCTGTTAGATCAGCTTCGAGCTTTATCCACCTGAGCTGAAAGACAGGAACAGTCTGTCCAGAACAACTCTGCCTGTGAGAGGCTCCAGTAGACTCCTCCCACCCTGAAGATGGTCTTTGTGCAACAGATCCAAAGGTCCCCAGAATCTCCCTACATCTTCAGATTCTTCAACAGGGTTTATTAAAGCACATGCAGGGATCTTTGTAGCATGGTTTCTACAAAACCCTCTCTAGCCAAAAGAAGTTCTCCATGTAGGCAGCAAACACAGAGAGGGGCAGGAATGCTTCCCAGTGACACCTGGCAGAGCAGGCAGTGCTACACCGGCACAAACCTTGTTAACCAGTGGCAGACTTTAAGGAAAGTATGTCATAACTCTTTCTTCAAAACAGAAGACATAACATTTATTTTCTAGTCATCTGGAGGTAGATTATGGGATGGTAAACAGGAATGCCTGGTTTTCGAGTGAGCTTCTTCCATGAAGGAGCAAATACAGGACTTTCACCGGCTATCCCAGCACTCATTGCAGCACCAACCCTCAGTTGTTTAGCTGCAGCATCACATGGTATAAACTGAGAAAGCTGCTGCTTCTGAACCAGTGTATGGAGACACAAATCAGCTCCGAACACGTATTTTCTTCTGTACACAAGCCTCCAACATGAATCTACAGCACTGCTGCATGTGGTTCTTCATAATCACAGCTGGAAATTCACCATGGGGTTCTTCCAGTAAAAAAATGCAAGTGCAGGATTTCAGCACTGAAGAACAGTGTAGTGAATGGAGGCTGAGGGGTGTTCTGAAGCTACTGAGGGGTGTTTTGAAGCCACTGAGGAGTCTGACTGGTGAGACCTTGCATGGAGCACTGAGTGCAATTTTGGGTTCTCTAGTACAAAAGAGATGTGATTTAGCAAGTGCCAAATGAGCCACAAAGGGGGTAAATGGACTGGAGCATCTTTCACGGGAGAAGGGGCCAAGAGAGCTGGGGCTGCTCCAGAAGGCTCCAGGAGGTCTGACCAGTGTGCTCAAGTACCTGCTGGGAGAGAGCGAGGATGGGGGGGCCTGACTGCTCTGCACAGGAGGCAATGGGCACGAGGGAAACCACATGGAATTCCATCTGCAAGGATCCACCTTTTTCCTGAAAGGGATCAGGCACTGGGACAAGTGGCTCAGAGAGACTGCAGAGTCCATCTGTGGAGATGCTCAAACTCTCACCAGATACAAGTCCTGGACAACATGCTCTGGTTGCCCCTGCCTGAGCTGGGCTGTGGGACTCAATGATCTTGGGAGGCCACCACCAAACTAGAGGAGCCTGTGACTTTTGCAGTTCTGTGACTTCTCAAGCCCACCCTCTAAATTTCTGCTGCACCAAACTCCAAAAGGGAAATCCTTTAACTGTGGTCTGAAATGAACTCACAGTGTAACTTAAAACTTGAAGACCTTGCTCTCTGAGCTCATCCTCTTCAGTAAATCAGTTTAACCAAGCTTTGATTTGATGAGTCCATTTGTCTTAAAATGTGACTTTACTGGGTGCTGTCAGTACCTAAATTGCTTTCAATCTACTACTGTTTATATTAAATGCAACTTGAGTACAGCTGCTCTTCAGAATTTTAGTAATTTAAGTGTCGTTCACTTCAGCAGTTCTCGTACTTGGCTGTGGTACAGTTTACTTCATTCTTAAAGCCTCCTTTGTCCTTTTGTAAACACTGTGAGTGTTTGTGAGCGTTTGCATAGTGCAAAGGGCAGTTGGTTGAGTAAAATAAGCCTCTAGCCTTCATGAGTAAGAGCACCTTGGTGTAAAGGACAGGATTCCAGATCAAAACCCTTTATGCTTTTGAAGGGCAATGAATAGGCATAGCTTACAGAAGCATTTCTAGTAAAGTAATAAGCAATTAAGCGAGGCTTGTGTGCAAAAGGTCATCAATTTGATTAATTCAGGCTCCTGCCTAAAGAATAATGATGGTGTCACTTGCACACGCATGTGATTTGTGAAAGAGGCTAATCTAGAGCAGGGGGTGAAACATCAGGCTAACCCTGTATGGATTAGTGAGTGCTGCTGTGAAGGATTCTTGTGGCAGAGCAGGCAGGCACACCTGCAAGGCTGACAAGCAGCTGTCTAATGGTTCATGAACAAGGTTAGCTGGGTGAGCTTCAGTGACTGCAGTGTGGCCCTTAACGTGCCCCATGCAGGTGGGGGGGTGTTGAATGCCCGAGAACCAGAGCACACCCCTTCCATTGCTGTGCCAGGCATAAGAAAGTGGAAACATTCCCTTTTTCTAGACAATTCCCTTCAAGATTCCCCTTAAAGATGTTTGAAGTACACAGGCTAAAATCTGCTTTCAGGCAGAAGTGACCAGTGCTGTGTCTGGCAGGGCCATGGTTCTCTCCCTGCCAAGGTTCAGCTGACAGAGCCCTCGGTTCTCGTTTCATCCTCAAGGAGCTGTGCTGCATCTGCGGGGTCTCTGTCCTGCCCCATGGGTGCTCCCTTTCTGGTTCTGTTCAGCGTCTCATCCTGGAAATTCAAAGCAGCAACTGGTGACAAAAGGACACTTTTTCCTGTACACACACATTGCCACAGGTGGGTCCTGGCCCTTGCCTTCACTGTCTTGCAAAAAAAATACAGCCACCAATGGCTTGATAGCAGGCAAGAGTGCGACACGCTGTGTCAGTCTTTAGGAGAGGGTTCTCTCTTTATGCAGTCCCATTTTAAGAGTTACTCACACACCCAAGAGCCAGTACATCAGTAAAAGGAACTTGGTGATGTACAGCTATTTCTTCAGCTTTTATCACACTTACCTGTTTCTTGTCCACAACATTGAGGCCAATGGAGGCAATGATGCAGGCGACAGCGTTTGCCAGCATAAAGATCATCATCTGTTGCCAGCGCCACAGGGGGATCTTTAGTTCACTAGAAAGCCAAAACAGGAGAGAACAACCAGTCACTTAAGATACTTAAGGCACTGCTCTAGTTCCCTGCAGCATCAAGTTGCAAATCCCCTGATTCCTGTTTACACTGCTCCACTAAAGCACTGGTGATTTCTCTGCTTGGAAAAAAAAAGACAAAGCATTCTCACCTGGACTTTGTTCCCAGCATGTGTCCAACAATCAGATTTGAAAGGCCAACTCCAACCATCTGCACAGAAGTTGCCAGCCCCATCGCTGTCCCTAAAGTTGCTTGGGGCACCACAAGGGGTATAGATGGCCACATACTAGCCTGGGGGAGCAATGAGAACAGGAACTCAGAGCCTGATTTAAAGGTGTTAGACAGACATTGGTTCAAAAAGGAATTATTCCCACGAAATAAACATTTATACCTTCCCCTCAAAAAATCTGGTGCTTGTCCCTCCAGCCTATTGGCTGGTTCTAGACTGTTCCCCATCCTTTTCAAGCAGCTGGAGACAGTACAGACAACACAGGTTATCTGAAACTGGAAGAACCTGACTCCAGATTTCAGAAGGGGAGTCAGACCTGGTGGCTGAGTGGGTAAGATTCAAAGGAGATTCAGGTGTTACATTCAAGGTAAAAAAGAACTAAGCAAATCATAGCCAGGTTAATGCTTCACACTGTACGAGCGCTTCCTCGCTCTGCCCCACTTTCTGCTCCATGTTGATTCTTTGGGGTTATTTGTTACTAACCAAAGTTATTAGGCTTGGGGAGCCTAATGTGCCTGCCTGTGCCTGCTAAACCTGTTCAGCAGGACACCAGGGCAGCAGTAATACACCATCCAGGTGTAGGAGTGTAGCCACAAGACACGCAGCTACCCAGTGGGGTTGGGAACTCACGGCAGCGAAGGAGTAAGTGATCCCCAGCCAGATGGTAGAGACCAGCGGAGGCACAAACGTGAAGGCCAGGAGAGCGAAGACGGGCAGAGTCAGCGTGGCACAGCCAACAGCAAAGACACCTCTCAGTCCAACGTAGTCCTGGTGGCAGGAACAGACAGCAGGCCTCTTACAGGGGATCCTGCTTCCCATGGGTCAGGGACACGAGGGGCTGCGCAAAGTGGGCTGGCAGGAGGGGCAGTGACATGGGATTTCCTGGCTGCTGGTAGTGTAGCAGACCAGCTGTTCCTGGTTTCTCTTGTGTACCTCTGAACTGAGTCTGAAATGCCACACTAGGTGTCCAGTACTCATGTGAAACCCTTAACACAAGGTAAGGGAAAACAGTATTATACCCTGACAATTATGGAAATAAGGAAAGGAAGCATTTGACAAAACAGGGTCTGGGTTTCATGCAGATTGTCCTTCCCCATCTACTTTGCAAAGCTTATCTCAATCCTTTCTGTTCCAGTCTCAGACCCCTCAAAACACACAGCTGTGTGCCATGGGTTGCTGCTACCCATAGCACAACTACAGGACAGAGGGAAAACCAGCTTAATGTTACTTCTTGTAATTTAAATCAGACTGAAGTGCACCTTGCAGGTTTGCAAGGGTATAAAGGACTGCTTGTTCAGCCCCAAAAGGTGCAATTCTGTTTGAGGGGCTATAATGGACAGTTCAAAAAATTGGGAAGTTATCAGCAAGCGCATCAGGTCTTGGGTACTCACAATTAAAATGCCAACTGCTGCAGAGAGGACAAGGGAGCTGTCGTACACTGCCCCAGCAATGTAAGCTGCTGCCTGCTGACTGTAACCGGGATATTTATCCTGGATAAACTTGCTGAAAACAAAATGAAGGGGAAAAAAGTAAGAAAGTAAGCCTGAGCACAAACATATGGACTGGAAGGGTTTGAATGAGAAGACTTGAAAACAAGCTTGATTTTGTCTGGTAGTTTGTAGTGCCAAGCCTTTGGTGGTTTATTTTCTTTTTAATTGGTGCACACCACAGAGAAGTTTAAACAGCCACTTTCGAGACACTTCTGCAAGTGCAGAGTGAAAATGCAGGTTAAAGTGCAGGTTAAAATTTGTTCCCTTCCATCAATACAGCTCAGGGCAGCAATGTGCCATCACCTGTCCACAACACACCAGTGGAGTTTGACATCCTCTTTTACGAGGCAGAAAGCCTTATCAGTACAAGGGGGAGAATGCTGAGGGGCTGGACAACTGTTTAAAAATTATCCGTCAGCAAAGATCAGCATTTAAATTGAACACCTGTATTTGAGAAGTACTAGGAACTGCCCCTTAGGAATTCCTTTAAGGAGACCTGGTTACAGCAAAAAACACCCATTGTCAAAGCCAGCCTTTCACCTTTTTTAGGGACACGCAGAAATTACATTAAACTTCCTCAAATTCTTTACAGAATTTAGTCATCCAGTTGTAATAAGAGCTTACACAGAGGTTTATTTAGAGATCTTGTAGCTCCTTAAGCCTGGTTTGGCTGCTTGCATGGCTACTTCCCCTCAGTCATCATGCTGATGACATTTCTTCCTCCCTGATTTCACAGTGGCTTCCTATACACAGCTAATGAAATACTACCAAAATAATTTTATTTTTTTTTACTGCAGGCCTTTGCTAATAGAAAAGTTCATCCCGATTGTGCACCATCCACAAATGGGAACAAAGCAGCAAAATGACAAGTCTGTGGCAGAGCCCCACGACAGAAGCAGGAGTCTCAGTTTACTTGGGCAGGTCACTGCTTTGTTTTAAGCATAAGAAGGCGTTAAAAAGGAAGTCTGAGGCCTTCACCAGGATACAAAGGCTTCCTCACGTACAAACCAAGGCTGAGCAAGCCCAGCTGTGTTCCAGACACAGCAGTGTGCAGCAGCTGCAAGGCAGAGCTGCCCCAGGCCTGTGGAGCTGACACCCCACCCAGCTCAGGAGACACCCACTTTGCTGGGCTATCACAAAGGTGAAATGCCTATGGGCTATTTTTTGAATAAAGTATTTTTTCTCCTTCTCCCAAAACCTTCTGATCCTCCTTTGGCAGTGTTCCAAGCTATAAATATTGGATGAATCATTTCCCTCAAAGGTATTTTTGCTTTCTTTCAGAAGCCTCTCTCATCTTTGAAGGGAAAGAAAGGTCAAAGAACCCTCAAACCTTCAACTAGGTGTTAAAGACATGTTTCTCTGCATTTCAAGACTGGAAGGAAACTGTATTTCCCAGTCTGCCCACAGCTGAGGCCTGGAAGGCTCTGCAGGCTCATGTCAGTCAGTGAGTCACAGCCACAGGACAGTACCTGGCATCAGCCACGAAGGGGAACACTCCGTTGTAGAAGAACATGATGGTGAGGACCAGGAGCCAGTAGCGAAGGGGAAGGTGCTGGATGTCCTGAATCCGCTGCAAAGACAAGATGTGCCCTCACTCACCAGGCATTAGCCCAGCTTCACACCAGTGTCACTTCCTGCAAGCCACTGAAGGGCATGAGAGATTTAAGGAGTAACAGCAGGTAAAAGGGAACTGTGAGGCAGCTCATACACCTCTAAGTGAAATTTGGTATGTGCTGACTCTAACACATTCCTTCTTTAACACTATTCAGTAAAGAAAACATAAAAGCTTTCTTCTTATTTTTCTAAAGGTTCTGGCTGCAAGAGATTTTTGAGCAGGCTCTGTTAAGAGTCCGCTGCAAATCCGTAAGTGAAACACAGCAGAAAGGTACAGGATAAACACGAGTCACAACACTGAGCTACAGAAACCAGTGAGAGTACTATCATAAGAAGGAAGTACATCTAATAGATTAAAGTGCCATAAAAATTGCACACATTACAAGCCTGTAATGTTTGTTCCTAGACAGGAGAATGCAAGGAGGAACAGAAGGGCTGACCAGAGATAGTTCAGTATTGTTGTTTGCTATCACAGATCCTGTGAGCCAGAAAGCAGTTCAGAGGGAGGCTACCAGCGAATTTTGTGCACAAAATCCTCCTCTGAGCCACCTACAGATAGGAAGTAACTGGCTCAGAAAGCTACTGCTGTCCTGAGTGCTCTCTGAAAGGTTCTAGGCAGGGAATCGACTCTTGGCTGGTGGCTCATAGATTTGATCTGCTCAGTGCTGCTCTGCAGGATCGAACCGAGGGGTGGGAATGCCCTCTCCTGGCCGGGACCGGCTCCTGCTGCCGCAGCCTTCCCTGCGCTCCAAAGGCAGTGCTCCTGCACCCGGGATTGCCAGGATGGAGGTGGAAAAGCACCACGTACCACTTTTTTGGATTCTTGCTGGATAATGCCATCCAAGCCCAGCTGCTTCATGCCCACTTTATCCAGCACACTGACTGTGAGGGCTGAAACAAGCCCCAGCACACAGAGCAGGCTCCCTAGAAAATCAAGAGGTGTTAGAAATTCCTCAGCATGGACAGAGCTGAACGATAAACTCCACTGCATGTAAAATGCTGAATTCTCCAGGACTCCTACTCCTGGCTTCTCTTAACACACAGAGCAGGACCCTTCCACTCACAGCATCCTGTTCCAGCCCCTGAGCTGTGCCCACCGAGCTCCCATGGCTGCAGTACTGATGGTCCTGATGCTCCTGACCTGCAGCAGGCTTATGCAACAAACCCAAGGCTAAAGCAGGGCAGACACTGGGAAACTTCCCTGGTCCCTAGAGCAGGAGAGGCATCCCAGGGCTGCACTGGAAGCCAGGCTGTACCTCCCCATTGGTGTGACCTGCTGCAGTTACCACAGCAGTCTGACCTGCGAGCACAGGCAGCTCCAGAGTCCAGTTATGCTGGATATGTCTTAGCAAGTTTGGCAATGGGCATCTGCTGCAGATATCCTTCTCAGAAAGAGTTCTGTACCTGTTTTGCTTTCCAAAGAGCCAAATGGACTGCAGAAGTCACTGTGCTGTGCTTACAAATGCTGCCTGAGCACAAAACTAAATGTGAGATGGGATGTGACAGCCCATGCCCACCACAGCTTTTTCTCTGAGAGCTGGAATCAGAGGAGAGGAATGGGTTTCAATTTCTGCATGAGATTTATCACACACATGCATCCTCTTTTCCGTGGATGATGGCCCATGCTGCTTTGTGGTTTGGAAAATAACACTTTCCTATAATCATTGAGTTTTTGTACACAAAGGAGGCCCTGAAGCAGGTCTCCCTTACATCAGCATCCCAGCACACCAGAGTCCACGTGTACCATTTAACCCTTCTGTGGAACAAGTCACCCCTTCCACTAGAGACAGATCCCATCTCACTGCAGCAAGAAGAGGACAGAAACTCAAATCTTCTAAAGATACAAGCCCTAGAACAGATTCACACTAAGAAATGTGTAGTTCAGGTTCTGCTTCTCACAGTAATTTAAATATGTAGTTTCAATCAGCCACGTGCAAGGTATTTTCTGCTGGGACAGTACAGACACTGCTGCAGAACCAGCACGTTCTGCTGGCCAAAGTATGGAATAACAAACACACTTGATTCCTCTTGTTTTCACTCTGAAGTTTCTATTCCATGGGAGTAAACATACATTAAGTACTGATTACCTGTGATTGCAGATGTTTAAAATATGTCAAGAAAACAACACTGTCAGGCTGACACTAGAGTATTAAGAGAGGGTTCTCTGGCATCAGTGTAGAAAACACCACTCATAGCACACAGAAAGCAGCAGGAAAAATTGGAAAATCACGTGCCTGTTCCCGCTAACCTCACTACCTTTTTCAGAGTCTTTTAGTAACTGGACAAAACGAGCTGGCCTGAGGTCTCAAAAACAACAAGCCAAAAGCACCAAAGAAACTCACCTCCCCAGAGAGTCCACTGCATTCCAAACTTTGCCTCAAACTGCTGGGTGAAGAAGAAGTTGAGGACACTCCCAAGACGGGAGAAGGACAGAGTCAGTCCAAAAGCCAGTGCCAGTTCCTTCCCCTTGAACCAGAAGGCTGTGATACGATTCTGCACAACTTGGAGAACAAAAAATCCTCTCTTGAACAGACAGGCTTGGCCAAGAGCATGGCACAGAAGCAACAGCTCTCTTAAGCTGGAGAGCTCAGGCTGGGGGAGACCTCTACTCATCCCAAGGGGAAGCAGATTGTGCCAGCCTCACAGTCCATTTTAAAATGTACTAAATCATGCTGGGACGTGGGAGGTGAACTTATCCCTCACATAAAGCAAGCAAAAATAACCTCAAAGGCAGAGAAATCACATGTCAGTCCCCACCTTGAGAGAAGGACTAAGTTGTTAGAGGGGAAGACTTTTAAACATTTTGGCACACACTAAATCCATGCAGCGGGAGCTGTGTTCTGCCAGCAACACAGGGCCCTTGTGCAGAGGTGAAGCTCACTGGTAGGACAAGGGTCTAGGAAGCAAAATAAAAATGTATCATGACCATTTGATGAGATGTAAATATGAAAATATGTAAATGTGAATTCCTTACTAGTAAGTGACCCGTTCCCAGAGCCAAAGAGCAGTCTTCCTGTTAGCATCATTGGAAGGAGGTATGGTGAGCCCTTAAAGTGTGAGCCTAGAGCAAAGAGGGATGATCCCAGCACAGTGAGAAGAGAGAAAACAAAGACACCAACTAGGGAGAAACAGAAAAAAATACACAAACCTCAATAGACATGCTGAGATCACAACAAAAGTATTCTGTGTCAAGAAGCAAAAGAAAAACCTCAAAACACACCACTAAACGTGTGGGCTTCCATCAGCTTACTCTCAGTTTTCAATTTTGTAAGACTGGTCTCTTTATAAAATGACTTGGGAATCCTCACAGTAATGATGACATTATCATGGTGGGATGTTAGAGGGGCAGAGTAACTCAGACAGAGGACTCTCAAATGTGTAGAGTCCTTGTCCCTGTTCTGAGCTCCATTATATGTCCTAGAGGACATGATGTCCTCTGTGCCCCCCTCTCCTCTCTAAGATGTTTACCTCCAGGATACAGAGACATCAGGACTGCATTTGCTGGGATTGCTGGGTCTGAGCTTATGGCACATGCCAGAACAAATGCCAGAGTAGGGAACAGAACCGTGTTTTATCAGTTTGTCCTATCAAAACCAGATAACACTAGTCCCTGTCATGTGTGTGTCAGAGAAAAGTGTGTTTACTGCCCTGCTGTGTCAATTCAGGTAAGTCAGTGGTCAAAGGAGGAAAATGTCTCAGTTGCTTCACAGAGCTGCTCAGCTAACCATCACACCCTGCCCTCCATCCCTCTGGGATGTTACGGCACTGGGACTTTTAATCATCCCTTTGCACTGAAAGGACAGCCTGAAATCCCACTTCAGAACAAGAATAAATTAATGGAACCTCGGAACTTACAGTGATTTCCCAGTTTATCAATCAGGAATCCAGCCAGAATAACCACTACTGCATTTCTAGGAGAAAACCAGAACAGAAATGCGTTGTCTTGGTGCTTGGGAGCAACTACCAAACCACCCACCCCCAAAAGCAAGAGCAAAGTGACTCACGTCCAGGCGTAGATCGCGTAGAGCAGGTTGTACTGAGCTGGGGTCATTCCCAAGCCTTCCACACACTCCAGCGTGCCATTGCGCCCAGTGCTGTTATGGTGGGTTCCATTGGGGCAGGTCAAGTTCTGTACAAGTCATAGAGCCTTTGTTAGGTGCAGACACAGACAAAAACTCACATGTGCCTTTAAAAATGAGGTTCTTCCCATCTAGATTTCTATTTATCCTGCTCAGCTCCCACTTCCACAAGCAGCCATTAGGGGACTTGTGCCTTCTCCTAGAAAGCCAGCCCTTCTCAAATGGGAAATGACTGGCCATTGGCATGACATGGCACAGCTTCTGTTTCCCTTCCTGTGGCAGTAGCAGCAGGGGTTCAGCATTTTTATACACATTTCCAACCAAAAGAAAAGCCAGGAGCCTGCACCACCAGCTTTACCTAATCCCTCAGCTTCTTGGTTATAGTTCAGCTTCATCTGACTCTTCATTCCATACTATAAAGTCTCAAGCAGCATGTAAATATGCAACTCAGTCTGTATCAATTCTCAGCTCTAAAGCATTACTACCAGTAAGAAACTGGTAGTCCTGGGCATGATTTAAAAACCTTGGTTTTGCTACTAAAAAGCAACATCTCCTCAACACTATATGATCAGGAAAACCCCCCTAAGATCTTCCAGCTACTGAAAATTCACCTGCACTGGGACATGGATGCTGGGTCTTCACACCAGCAGACAAGAGCTTAGCACCTTGAATAAGCACAAGAGAAGTGTGATTTTCACCACGAGATTTTTATATTCACAACTCCTCAGGTGTGCTGCAGCAGAAATGTTTGAGGCTGCAGAGAAGCAGCTCTCTAGAACAAAGTGTTTCACTGCAAGCACTCGTCTCAGCTGCTCCAACCACCACAGTACCACTGCTGAGGCAGGGAGAGGCTAAATTCACTAGAGTAAAAATATGACAAGAGTGTCAACAGATTAAAAACTCTGCACAGTATTAACACAGAAAAATATGGCTTGGTTTCACTACCCTACAAAGTGTTTTGTTACCTGGGTAACAAAACATGACATAGCCTTTCCTGTATTCCATAAATAAGTAACTGACTCCTCCCCTCACAAACCTACAGAAGTTGTGGAAGATTGAGGAATAATTACTGACCTATTTTGGGGGGGAGATTTTTCTCACATTTGCAATGACAAGCTGCATCCAATTTAGCCTGGAGTTCACTGTCTGAATGTTAGGGATTTACTGCATTTATGTTAAAAAAAAGTTACGTGCAAGCTCTGGCTATTCCTGCCCTGGCTACTGAGGCAGATAGAGAATAGGACAGTGACTCTGCCCCCACACACACTGACCTGCCAGCAGACAGCACATGAGAGGCAAATCATCTCTCAGGAGATACAGAACCAATGCAATCACGACAGGTAAATGAGTCCAGTAAGAATTTGTCAGGGGTTCAGAAATTTGGCTTTGGCTCTCCAGCATCTCTGGAGAACTCCCAGCAATCAGCTGGGATGGCAGTGTGAAAGCTGAACAACAGAAGTTTCTAGCATTTGAGAATATGACTGGTTTTTACATGTCAGTCCTCCTGTGACCCCCCCGCACAGCTCCTGTCCTTGGGCCAGCAAATACTGATGTGATGCCTGCAGTGTCAGAAGGTTTGTACCTGGAGACCCAGAAAGACTTTCCTTCTCACTGGTAAAAGTGAGTACTGAGAACTCGTGTATTTCTGAAAGGTTTCTAGGGGATATAGGAAAGTGATGGTGTTACGTCTGACTTCTTAAAAATTATGCTTAATATGTTTTAATCCCATTTTTTTTTACCTTATGATATGAAGAGATTTTTTTTTAAAAAAAATGCTGCTTCACTGTAACTGGTGAATACAGTGGGACTTGAAAGAGTGATGTGTAACATTCTATTTATGCAGCGCAGAAGCAAAGCAAAAGAAGGCCCAGCTCAGCCTGGAGCAGCCCAACCCTCTGGTTCCTTTTGGTAAGTTTTAGTTTCCTTTTGAATGGAAACAAATTTTTAGATATTTTGCTTCTAACTTTTGTACAGGCTATGAATGAAATGAATGGGAAAGAAATAGAAGGGGAAGAAACTGAAGCAGTGTTAGCAAAGCCACCAGATAAGAAAATGCAAGCACGTCAGGCTGCCAGACAGGCCTCGCGGAGCACTGTGTGAGTGTCACTGCGGTCACACTGCACAGTGAAGTTTTGCTGCAAATGAATCACCTCCAGCACTCGTGTCTCCCACCCCCGTGCAGGTACTGACGGTCAGTGCTGTGGATCTCCTGCGTGCGGGGTGGTGTGAAGTCCCGACTGGACTCCCTTAGGGCGGTGAAGAGGAGCACGGGCGAGTGCCACATTCCCAGTTCTCCCGGCAGCAGAGGGAGCTCGAACACCTGGCGTGCCAGTGACAACCTCCCACCCGCAGCACCTGGGAGGTGAGACCGCGAGGCAAGGACCCCTGCACCGACAGGAAAAGGTCTGGAACCTCCAGCGGCGCCCGCGGCCTGTGTTGCCGGCTGTGCCCCTGTCTGCACGGCCCGGGCGGAGGCTCAGCGCCCCTCGACACTCACCCCCTGGAGCTGCTGCTGCAGGACGCCGGGCATGTCGAAGCAGAAGTAGGAGCCGAAGGTGAGGAGGCAGTTGAAGAGCAGCACGGCGAACCTGTAAGAGACTGGGGAAGAGCGGACCCTCCTCACCCGCCCGTCCCGGCCCTCCCGCCGAGCCCCCGCCCAGCCCTGCCTGCGGGGGGACGAGCCCAGCCCGCGGCCTCCCGGGCCAGCCGGGCCTCCTCCCGGCCCTCCTGCCGGGCCAGCCGGGCCTCCTCCCGGCCCTCCTGCCGGGCCAGCCGGGCCAGCCGGGCCCCGCCGCGCTCACCGCGCTCCGCCGGCACCGCCATCGCTCCGCCCCTCGGGCACGGCCCGCCCCGGGGACGGAACGGGTGGGGAGAGCGAGTGGGAGTGGGGGGTGGGGTTGGGAATGGGACTGCGAATGGGAATGGGGAGTGGGGCTGGGAATGGGACTGGGGATGGGGCCAGGAATGGAGACTGGTAATGGAGAATGGGAAAGGGAATTGGGAATGGTAATGGGGCCGGGAATAAGAATGGGGACTGGGAATGGGACTGGAAATGGGAACTGGGGCTGGGAATGGGAACTGGGAATGGGGCCAGGAATGAGAACTGGGACTGGGAATGGGGACTGGGAATAGGAATGGGCCTGGGGCCAGAACTGGGTCTGGGGACTGGGACTGGGGATGGGGCCGGGACTGGGGACTGGGACTGAGGCTGGGAATGGGGCCAGCAGTGGGAATGGGGCCGAGAATGGGGTCAAGAATGGGAATGGGGCCGGGACTGGGACTGGGACTGGGACTGGAACTGGAGCTGGGGGCGGGACTGGGACAGGGGCTGGGAATGGGAATGAGCCTGGGGCCGGGACTGGGGTCTGGGACTAAGGACTGGAGCCGGGGCTGGGACTAGGACTAGGTCTGGGAATGGGGCTGGGGCTGGAACTGGAGCTGGGGACTGGGACTGGGGGCTGGGATTGGGACTGGAACTGGGGACTGGGACTGAGGGCTGGGATTGGGACTGGAACTGGGGACCGGGACTGAGGGCTGGGGACTGGGGACTGGGGCTGGGAATGGGAATGGGGCTGGGAATGGGAATGGGAATGAGGCTGGGACTGGGGACTGGGGCTGGCAATGGGAATGGGGCTGGGAGTGGGGACTGGGGACTGGGAATGGGAATGGGAATGGGGGTAGGAGTGGGGACTGGGACTAAGGACTGGAGCCAGGGTTGGGGCCGGGGCTGGCACTAGGACTAGGGCTGGGAGTAGGGCTGGTACTGGGACTGGAGCTGCTGCTGCCCAGGCCTCCCCCAGGGCTGAGCCAAGGCGGGAAGGGGTCGGGAGGACTCTGATGGGAAAGGAGCCAATTGGAAACAGTGGGATAAACCGGAGGAATTGACGTCAGTCAGAAAGAGGGAATTTTGTAATGGGAAATGAGACTGTCCATGTGAAAGGAAGGAATCAGATGGTAAATACAGTGTGGGAGCAGCAGCATGGAAGAAATTGGTTTGTAACACATCATAAACTGATCAGGAGTCCAAAATATGATGTTCTGGGGAAAAAAGGTATCTCTAAAGGTGTGTTGGTGGAAGTGTCTCATATAAGACACAGGGAAGAGCAGACACAGGAAGGGAGCAGGGAGCATTGTTACAAATGGATCAATAGGAACCAGCCAAGTGTTAATTAGAGGTTCCTCTTTATCACAAGAGCAGGGCCCTGGCAATGAAAAGGAAAAAAATCCACAACCCCTCCTCCAAAGCTCCTGTATGATCAAAAGGGTAATTCTCATTTGAAGAGTATTTTCTACCCAAATGAGGCACAAAGAGCAAACCCCACAATGGCACCTGTGCAGGCCAGTGCCTTACCTGGTCTTAAATAGAGCTTGCGAAGTATGTGAGCAAGACTGTGGCATGACTGTCCATCCTTCAAAGCCAGAAGTAGGATTTGTGCCTCCAGGAGTTTCTTCACGCTCCTATGTCAGTGGGTCAAAGGTTCACACACAGCCGGGAATGTGATGTTAAAAAAAAGTTTTTCAACAATGTGTACTGAAATATAAGGATATTTTAGAAGTAATTTTAGGAGCACCTGACTTGTGAACAGAGTCAGCCTAGAAGGTATCCCAAAGTCCATTTTTATAAATGCTATTACTTTAGACATCATTTATGCTGCCATGTAGAAGTTTTTATTTTGCCCTACCCTGTGATTTCTCCCTTCCTTGGGCCACAGGTGTGGAGAATGCTGAATGAACTGTTACCATTACTGCCTTATGTGCAGAGGATGCTTCATGCTGCCAACACATGTCCTTACCTGGCTGTGCTGGGCAGACCCTGTGAGCAGGTGAGCCCCCACCTATCTGCTCACTCACTTCTCCCAGTGGGATGGAGGAGAGAATCAGAAGGGCAAAAGTGAGGAAAAAACCCACAAAACCTTGTGGGTTGAGATACAGACAGACAAATAAGTGAAAAGGAAAAAAAAACTAAGGGAAAAACCCCACCAAGTGATGCACAAGCAATCACTGACCATCCACGGACCAATGTTCACCTAGTCCCAGGCAATGGGAAAAAACTTGGAAGAAACCCTTCCCCAGCTTTCTTGCTGAACATGATGCCACATGGCATGGGACTTCTCTCTAGTTAGCTAAAGTGTGGCTGTGTTATCAGCACTGTTCTCCTCACCAGCCTGAGCACAGCACTGTTTCAGCTCCTGTGCACAAAGCAAACTCTTTCCCAGCTAAACGTAGTACACTACGAACCAACTCTTGAAAGGAATTCTTTTGGCCAAACAAGAATGTTTTATAACAACATTTAGCAGAAATGAAAGTGTCTGGATAATAATAACATTTATATAGACATTTATGTCTGTGTATATATATATAAATTTTGTATGTATATATAAGATTTGTATAATCTGTATATATATATATATATATATATAAAAGATCTGTATATATATATTTATAACATGTATACTGTGTGTGTGATTGATTTGATTTGAAAACTAGTGTTAGAGCTTTGCTAGTGATCTGCAGGTCTGAGGTGGGGATATGTCCCAACACTGCTGGGGACAGCAGCAGCAGATCCCCATTCTGTACCAAGCTTTGTAGCACTTCTAAGCCGTGTTTGTGCCACTGGTGATGTTTGTGATCACTTCAGGAGCCTTTGTTGCAATCACAGTGTTTATAAAAATACTAATATGCTGGACAAAACTCACTGTGGTGTCAAAGGGATAGAAAGGAACAATACATATCAGCATTCTGCAATGTAAATAATGGCTTGGAGATACTGGATTCATTTGCATATTGAGTCTGGACACACACTTTCAATTTTTTCCTTCAGAAGTGCTTTGTTTTCCTGTATTTTTTTTCTGTATATATATGCGTACATATATGGGAATATCTATCATTATATATATTGTATAATATTCCACGTTATATATGTGAAAATAGATTATATATATTTTCTACATTTATGACATATTTCTCCCTCCCTCCTTTCAATCTTTGGCTAACAGGCTGTGTGAATTTGATGTGTCATGATTCATTCACTTTTTGAATTTTACTCTTTTTCCCCTCTTTTTAGCACCAGCTCATAAGTGACCTGGAGTTTGGACTTGGAGTGACTTTGATTTGAGAACGAGGATACAGGACCAGTGATGGGGAGATCAGATACTCATGAGAGATTTGTAATAGTGGCATGCGTGTCTGTCCAGACTCAAGCTACCAGGTGTCTAGAAGAACCTTTAGGCCTTCTTTAGGGAGGAAAGGGCCTGGCATAAAAATACTTTAGGTGTCTCATCCATTAAAGATAACTTTCAGAGCATGGCCAGGCGAAATACTTGCTCCTGAATCAGCTGCATGTCAGCAGCTCTGGTGTCTGTGCTGTTGTGAGAGCTTCCTAGGAGAGAGTCAGAACTCATAGGCATGACTGAATAAAAACCTATGATCCAAGAAATCATTTGGGAGCACTGCACCTGAAGAGTGTTGTTATTTCCATCCCCTATCCAGTAACAAGTCTTTATGGAGTAGATGAGGTGTGGGCTTGCATTGGAAACAGAGAAGGGAAAGACAAAAAAATTAGGAAAAAGCTATGTGTCAGAAGCCTCATCTGCTCACAGCAATTATGGGGCAAGAACCAGACCAAGCCAGACAGAGAAAGAGGAGAGCTCTTCTTCCATTACGGCTTCAAGGAAGAGGATTAATATTTGATAAGAAAAATCAATTAGCTCACAAGTAACATGGAGATTCTGACCATGATCAATGGAAACAATCCTTGAAGACACCCTTTAATGCATAGCATCCATGATGGTTTGGAGGTCCTGAGCTTGTCAGAAGCTGGTTAACTTGAGATTTGCCTTAGGTTCTACCTTGTAAGAGTACCTATGAGTTTAATATTGTCTCCTGGCTAAAAGGCCTCTTATGTTTTGTCAAATCCCATTCATCTTAATTCTTAACTTGAATTTGTAGATGCTCATTCATTCTGGTTTTTATTTTAACTATTACCTGGTTTCTTCACCTGTGCATCCATAAATGTATCATCATAACGTTTTACCTGTAAATCTATTGCAAAACTGCAGTACTTCTGCTATTTCTTAGAGCTCTCAGAAGTCCTGGTTTTAGTCCTCTCATAAAACCCTACATAGATAATTGTAATTTTAATGTAAGTTTTACAGAAAGCTCACTGAAAGTAGTATCAGCTCCTCCTACCCTTGACCTTCTTGTGCCAGTTTTTTCTGATTTAATAGCTTCTATCTGAAAAAAGGTAGTTTCTCTTGGTATATGCTCCCTCTTCTTTATCTGATTTTCTGTCACCAAGTTCTCAGTCTCAGGGACTCCTCAAGTATTGTGGAGTCCTTTGAGTTTAACACATAACTTATTGAAGCATGTGTCACTATTTGCATTCTGTTCCCAAGTGATTGCCTTATATGAGAGAAAACAGCGAGACTGGGTTTGTGACAAGTTGTGTTAAATCTTTTTGAAAAGAAAAGGTCTCTTCAGTCACGAACAGGGAGGTTACAGTTGTAGTAAGGACAGCGTTTTCAGGCAGGAGAGGGATTTTATTTTGTCAGCTGTTATACTTCATTTTGCAATTGTGTATTTCCTCTGAAAACAGAACGAGTAGGAGCATCGTTATGTAATCATTTAATGTATATTGCGTATGTAATCATTTAATGTATATTGCATATGTAATCATTTAATGTATATTACATAATGCATCATTATGTAATCATTGTTTAAACCGAGCTGGAAATTAAGCACCATGCAGCCACTCGCTCAGCCCCCCCTCCCTCCCCCTCCTACCCTGGTGGAATGGGGAGGAGAATCAAAGTAAAACTTGTATGTTGAAAAAAGAACAGTTTAATA